AAGAAAGAAAAAAATTACTCAGTTGAACAGTACAAACAGCAAGTGAACATCAGCATTTGATCAAACACAGAACTTACCACAATATTCCGGATCACCAAGTCAGTGCACATAGGACCAAGAGATGACAGATCAATTCGTCTTGATATGCCCTTGTAGAAACTGACGGCAGATCTCCAATGCTTACAAGTTAAAGAAGCAAGGGCAAGGGACTTTATGTCAGATCTCAGCAGGTGAAAGATTCGCGCCAAAATATGTCCATCCAATAACCCCCAGCCTCCCATATCAGTCTCGAAAGATGCATTATTTTCTGCATCCCCATTGAAAGTGGCATCACCACATAACTCTTCAAAAGTGCTATCATCCTTTTGAACTGCCACCAAATCTTCCCGACCATCATATTCCTCATCACTTTCATCTATCAGCATCCTTGCCCTCTTTCCAGCGCGCATATCTGTATCTGTATTACCAATCACACATATTATTCACAGGCCCGGATTCAGCAGTTCAACATTTAGTAAAATTTCATCTAACTTGAAATAAAGAATTCACTGCCCAAGTTTCAGAATCCATTCAGTCTTCTCCCCATCCCTGTCTAAGTAACTCAAAGTAATAACTGGTAGACTCAAACCAACTGAAAGGAAAGTAGGATAGCAGGAAATATTTTTGAAAAAACATGCATATTTGATATTAAAACACATGCATAAAGGGAAGTATAAAGGAACCTAAAGGGAAGCATAAACAGATATGGATTGAACAGCAACCAGATTCATACCTTAGTTCTACGTCAAAGACAAGCAATAGCATGCAAGTATAACTGAAAGACAGTTAATAGACTGAGACCTTTAATTTCTGTACGAGATCTTATTACTATTGAGTATAGAGTACAAATTGGACAAAAACTTGAAAGACAATTGACTAAGTAATTTCATACCAGTTTTCCAGTGGATATGTTTGTCGAGCTCTTTCTTAGGTTGCTTCTCACTTATCCAAGGATCCAAAACCTCATTGATGGCAGCAGCAAACTCACGAGTTTTGAATGATTTCATAACCAGCTCGTGTAGCTTCCCACGGGTATAGCCAATGAACTGCGGATGTAGGCCATGAAACTGGCAACCATTTTGGCTCTTTCCCTGATAGGCATTACTCACCGATCTTGAAATGGCATCTACCGAAATACCAGCACTAGCTTCAGAAGCTTCTCCAGAAGAGATAACTGGAACCCAAACCCTATCAAACTTTCTGTACGCACTGCTGTGCTTCTGTATGGTACCTTGATCAGCCAAAGACTGCAGCTCTGAATACGAGAATGGTCCTTGCTCATGCCCAGCACCATCAAGATAGTACCATTCCCCCAATTTCAATTGTAAATCCTCCGCCGTACAAATCTTGTCTTTCGGTATGCGAATGGACTTCAAAGAACTAGAAAGATCTCGTTCACTAACAGATTTGGATTGAGAATCCGTATCTGACGTTGACCTCCTCGACTCGTTAGTTGCAGAGTGCATCCTAGAAGACCTAGAAGAATATCTGTCCTTTCCTCGGGCTTTGCTCCGCGGTTCAGAAACAAATGAACCATGATCATTAACAACACATGCATTAATCCTGACCACTGGCAAAGCAGTTCCCCTCACTCCCCTTACTACAGGAGGTTTAGTAACATTCAATCTGTTTGCACCACCAGTTTCATTTTTCTCGTCTTGACCGGAGAAAGCCCAGGGAGGGAGTTCAAGCTTTTTGCTGTGAGAAGGATAATACAAATCATCTTTTCTCTGCCACCTAGGGTCCTCAGAGTAAGACTTTGGCATCAGGCACAATGGAAAACCATCATTTAGAACCATTTTTCTTCTAGGAAAGCTATCGACGGCCTCATCGTTCCTGATCCAGTCCCCACCTTTACATGACCATCGACCAGAAAACCAGCCGACGGGGTCATCAGCAGAAACAAAGTCATGATCTTTATCAGAGATAAAACTTGATTTCAATTCAACAGCCTCTGTCAGCTTCACATCTGAAAATTTTGATGCTTCGTCACTTTGTTGATCCTGATGAGAAGTTTCATACTGACTAGACCCTGCAAATACACAAGCAAGAAGCATGAACCATGCAAGAAAAAAAAAAAAGCAACCCTTTGAAACATATGAAGGACATCAATCAAATTAAACGGAGCCCACTGAAAGACAGAATACTCTTCAGCCCAGATGGCCAACGAACACAAACATACCTTCTGTCAATCCATCCCACTGCACTTGCACAAATGTTGTATGTAAAATCTCTGGAAGCAAAAAGAAAATAATAATGAATTCCATCAATAACAGTCATGGAGAAAATCAGGCAGTATCAATGGATGGGAAAGTAAATGCATAATAGAAGAGAGAAAAAATTTACCTCCAATAGCCTCAAGTTCCCTGCCAGGAACAAGGGCAACATCCTCCAGCAGCATCATCACTCTCTCATCAATGTGGAGATCAGGTGCATTAGCATCTGGGAATGCCGGTGTCTCTACCAAAGTTTGATGTGCTTCTTCACCATCATGACTACCAGACTGTCCAATATCCATAGAATCTGCCAAAAGATTACCAGGTGCCTCTGGAGGACTAACAAGCTGCGTAACTGATTCAGACACAATGGACAGAAAATTGGGTGATTCTTTTGGGGAAACTGCTTTCTCAACAGTCATCCACCTATTGCTATCCAAATGCTTGATCAAGTGATCTGAGAAAAGAACTCCATCATCCACCAGTCCCTTAAGGTCAGACAACTTAGCAGGCCCACGTTCAATACCGAAGTAATCAAGGTAGAACCACTTTCCAGTTGATGAATCGGCAACAACAGGGGCATGAGGTGGGGTATCACATATATCCATATCTTCCTCCATAGACTGCAGTTCTTCCAGGGGTGGTTCATCGAGAAGAGGAGAAGAGTCCTTGATATCAGCTTTGAGGCACTCAGACTTCTCTTTACAGGCTGTCTCACAATTGGCACTTTTATGACCTAGTCCATCAGGAATATGCGTATTGTCTTGAGCTTCTATAGCTGTCACCTGAGAATCCCTTTCATTTGAATCCGTCTGGCTGAGTATATCCACGTGCCCTTTGTTTCCATGCTGAGAATCTCGTTTCTCACTAGCTCCGCCTTTCCGGCTTGCTTCCTTGGAGTTACTGTGCTTACCACGATCAAGAGGAGACCGCTCTGGACGGTTTGGTGTTCGATCCTTGCGCTCATGGTAGTGAGCTCTATCTTGAGGAGAACGCTGTGTATAAGTTGGGGTCCTGTTTCGGCGGTCATGATGACGGTTCTTCTCATACGGGGATTTCTCACGTCCATATGGGGATCTCTCCCGTACAAAAGGGGACTTCTCTTGACCAAGTGGAGATCTTTCATGTCCATGTGGAGATTTTTCACGTGCATGGAGAGTCCTAACTCGACTATGCGGGGATTTGCGAGCAGGACTCCGTTCTCTGTGATCATGCTGCCTTCTATCACGCGGGGACCGCTCAAGCTGCTTCTCAAATACAACCTTGGATGACAGAGTGGGCTCATGACACCTGGCTGAATATTTGTCACCTGACAGAGTTCTTGCTGACAAAGGATTTCGACTATATCTCTCCACAGAGTGACGAGAATGGTGCTCAGGGTGAGAAGAACGAAGACTATCGTCCGAAAGTCTCCTGCTTTTAGAACCCGCATAATCCCCATAATCTCCACAGTGTTTCCGCTCATTACTATCAGAATCAGTGCCATGCCGCTTCAGTCTGTTAGAAGAAGAAGTGTGCTCTCTCGCATGACTCTTACCGTTACTGTGCTCCGCGCTTTTATGATTGCCTTCCTCATCCACTATCTTCGAACTAATCCTTATACCCCTGTCTTGAGGACCCTCCCATCTCAAAGCACTTTTTGAATACTGGGTAGTCCCGCTTCTACCGACATCTTTCCGTCTATAAAGATCGTCACCTGGATACCTGCCAGAAGGTGGTGTGCGCTCGTTAGAAGGGTCATATCTGCCACGGAACTTGCCATAACTGTAATCTTCTTTATTATGCCACCTGTCAGGAATGAATTCTCCTTTTTCGAGTTCGTCTCTTGAAAATTCCTCTTTGCGGCATTTCCCAGAAACGATCTCCCCCTTCTCAACCTCGTTTCTTCTCCATTTCTCCCCGACGATCTCTCCCTTCTCAGTCGCACTTCTTCGCTGTGGCTTCTCCGGCTGGACAAATTCTCCATTTTCAACGTCAACCCGGGGCGGTGGCCACTTCAAAGTGCCCAATTCACCTTCTTCAACTTCTTCTTTACCATTCTGCGCCTTGTGGTCGACTGCAGTCGATAAGGTATCAGCTTCCTTGGCAGTTTTTGTATCTACTTCCTTCCCGCCAGCTACACCTTCATTCCTAACCTGGGTATCAATTCCCACGGAATTCTTCTTGTCAAATTCCTTGCCAATCTTTAAATTAACTTCCTGGGTGTTCTTCGTCACCTCAGCTGGGTTGCTATTCAATGCTCCCTTCTTCTTCCTCAATTCACCCTTTCCACCAGCTGGTACCTTCCTGATGACTTTCTTAACCTTGATTATCTTCCTCACTATCTTCTTCGGCTTGGTGCTGACGCCATTGGCGCTGGTGCTGCCATTACTGACAGTGGTTATGGTGGTGGTGGTTGTGATGACGTTGCCGTTGGTTGTAGCAGTGGTGGTTCCCTTGCTGGCTGCCCCATTCTCATTGCTGGTGCTATTGTCGTTGGTAACAGTAGCAGCATCAGCAGCAGAAGAAGGAGTAGAATTAGAAGTCTTGATTACAGCGCAATGCGTGGTGCCAGCTTTGTCCTGAACTGGGAATCTCTCCATGACGGTGCTATGCTGCTGAAATGGCATGCATGCGACACCTCCATCGCCCATGGAAATCCCGCCAAGGAACTGAATTCAGTGCCAAACCCTAGTTCTCCCCTCTGCCGGGGCTGTCGATGCTCATGCTGCGATAAAAAAAAATCTCCTCCCGTAAAAATGCCCACTACTGCCCTTGCTCCGCTCCAATTGAATGCTCCTTCCTCTCCGCGAATCTGCAAGCAAGCAAAGCCAGCAATTCAATACACCAAACAGCCAATGTAGGGTTTTCGCCGCGGAAAGAAAAACCAGAGACGCGAAGAAGCAGAAAACCCGTCAAATTGAATATCAAGCTCCCAGCAGTGGCTCGGTAACCCTCTAGGGTTTCCGGCTCCAAGAAACAAGAAGAAGAGACAGTGGAAGGAAAAAAATTACCAGGACGGAAGAATTTACCGGCGAGGCAGCTGAAACCCGACAATAGATCGGAGAAGCAAAGGAAGGAGAAAACCTTGTCGAGCTCTATCTGAATTCGCGCGTGAAGAAGAGAAATAGAGAGAGATGGTCTTCCTGGTGGAGGTTTTAGAGGTGGAAGTTCATCTCCTGCATTTGCTTTTGTCTCTAATGATTGTCCATCCAATGTTACACTCTCTTATTTCCCCTGTTGCATAGATAGGTTACTTGCAAGTGTTGCGTTTACTACACCACTAGACGTTGGATCTTTAGCACTGGAGTTAGCCATACTTGCAGAAGCTAGAGAGGAACCTATAAAAATACATGATTAGAGGTGGCAATCACCAATCCAATCCACCAACCCATTAAAAATATCCATCTAATCCAATCAATTTAAATCCAATCCATTTGATCCAAATCCAATTAGATTGGTGGATTCATGGATTGATCCATGGATCCAAATGGCAAATTACGGTTTGGTACCTATTTTTTTATATTATACATTTTGGTACCCAAAAATTAATTTTTATACGAAAAATATCATTGGAAAATTACATTTTGGTACCTAAAATTTTTCATTATGACATTTTAGTACCTAAACTTTTTACATTTTACATATTGGTCCTTGGTTGAGGATGTCATTTGGATTCATGGATAATCCACTTGATCCAATCCATGAATCCACCAATCCATTGAATCCAATCCATTTGATCGATGGATCCACCAATCCAATCCACCAATCTATGAATCAATCCATTTGCCACTTCTATACATGATGTAAAACTTTCTAGAAAATGACTAATTTATTAATTGAAAAAATGTATATAAATCTTTTACAAAAAGGCTTACCGGCAAAAGAATCACGCAAGTGGAGTAGAGGCCTTTCATCTCGCTTCTCTTCGATATAATTAATTTCCCCTTCACTATTTTTCAAGCAAAGCCAACAACAGAATAAAACTGCAACAATCATGAAGGTTGCTACTGCTGTAGCTATAATGGCCACAAGTGTTTGCCTCTCGATTTCTTCCTTTGATTTCTTTTTATGTTTCTTGTGTTTTTTCTTGGAGTCTGGAATGGAGGGTGATGATGACGACTCAAGTTTCCGACGGTGATGAAGGTTTGCTTCATAAAACAGGAGAGCCATAGGATTGGAATGTGAACCGATGATTAGTGTTGATTCATGTAGAGAGGATGGTGTTGAGCCATAAACTTGAGACCTTAAAGCAATTGTAAAGCTATCAGATTGAGATGTTGAAGGCGGTAGAGGATTCGACACATTCTGGACATCATGCTTACTAGCTAAATATCTCCTTTGAGTATTTCTAGGCCGTTCTAAAACTTCCTGAAAGCACTGTGAGGCAATGCTTAGAGCTGCTACCACTATCAACAGTTTTATCAAAGAGAAGATTCTTGTTTCTTAGGCAATGAAGGAGTTCTCTCTTTAGTTCTAGCGACATAACTCTAATAGTATTCTGAATGTTTGTTTTAGCTAATGAAGATGATTTTAATTCACTGATTGATTGATATAGATTGTACAAGTCACAATCTTTCGGGAAACCTTTGGTGTTCCCTAGTTGTTTCTTACAGCGGATCCGTGCTTCTTCTACCTGTATATGTATATAGTACATCATATCCTCATGAAGAAATAATAAAAATTTCACAAATGTAGTCATAATTTTTTTCTTGAATGACCCTTCTGATATCTAAATATCTTCCTAATTTGTTTTTTTTTTTGGTCAGATCTTCCTAATTTGTTTCAACTGAACATGAGAAAAGAATCATTGACTATGCCACTAAAAGCCAACAAATTAGATATAATAGGGATTTGTCTTCCTCAATTATCTTCAATAAATTTAATAAGAAATTAAATAATCTAGCCTTGAATAGGGGTTTAGCATCAAAAGCATATATTTATTGAAAAACTTGTAATGAAGATGAATATAAGAGAAAAAAAAGAAAGAAAAGAAACATTACCATTTCTTCTTCCTTCACCTCAGGTCGTTGATCAGAAGAATCAACCAAGGCCACCCAAAAAATAAGAATCACATAGACCATTTTGTACCTAAGTCTCCTTGATCCCATTGCCTTTAAAGCCACAACCCCATTCGCTTGCTACCCATCTCATCTCGTCGAATCTAACATACAAGTTATTTTAAGAGAATATCTATGAGAATTATAGAGAAAACACAGAAAACCATCTTTTCCTCATCTTAAACAAGAAATGCACACACCCTAACCCCACAACAGAAACATCCTCTCTTTTCTCTCCCACCCTAAAACTCACAAATGATCAAATTTCAGATAACCCACAAAAATAAAATGCTTATCCGAATGTACCCTTTTCACAAGTTTGTGTTTTCCCCTTCACTTATGCACTGCATTGAACTAGCTATATTCTTCCCTTGTACATCCCAAAAATTGGAATACATGCATAAGAAATGTTGTTTCCTTGAATATAGAAATCTAACCCTTCATCATGTTTGAGACGAATTACTCGAAAATCTTGACCCAACATTTTCTCCAATAAGGATTAAAATGTGAGATATGAGGATTTCTTGGGGTGGCAAGACAGAGCAAAGAGGGTTTTGAAATTTTGAGGAACAACCAATAAGTCGAGCTTAAAAATCAACTACACGAACGTAAGAAAGTTGATAAGGGGGTGTGAGAGAGAAAAGGGGTAGAAACTTTCGACAAAATCACCAAGGAGGACTATAACAAAAATTTAGAAGGATTTTCTTTTGCATTTCGATTTTGTTTAGCTGCAGGTTTCACAATTTTCGAAGGGAACGAGAAGAATGAGGGAGGGAGGAAACCAAGGCTTCAAATTTTGACTTGTAAATTACTTTATCTTAATTTTGTTTAGAATTATGCAAGAACTACAATGTGGGGCCTCTTGCAAAATTTCCAAACTTTCTTATTTCTTTGAACACAAAAAGAAAATCCTATAAAAATAAAATAAATTAAAAATGTGCATTTTGTGTTTATTTGACATTATTGTTTTTCTTTTCTTTCCTTTTTGCTTTTTAAACATAGTATTCATAAATTCAACTAACCAAAAAATGTTGAGACTTGGTGTCCAATTACTTTCATTTATGGTAGACATAGTTTTAAGCTATATTATTGGTATGAGCTAGAACAAGTCATATCGCTTTAACTCTTACATCTTGATTTGTGATTTTTTCTTATTATTGATTAAGTGATGCCACTCACCCAACATGAGTTAATTCAAGGTTTAATAATCTCGTCACATGGACATGCGTATACTTGTTCTACAAGCAAGACCTAAGAGTTTGTGGCAGGGCGACCCATGATGTTCGGAGGCCCTATTCTAAAATTTAAAATGTGGCTCTAAATTTTTTTACGCAAATTAATTTTATAAAATACATAAGATCAGAAAATGATTTCAAAAGTAATAATTTCATCTATGATTATTTATATAATAACAAGTATTATTTGAAATAAAATCCTCTATAAAAGTGAGTTAATGTTTCACCAACTCACTCTATCAGATAGGAAGGAGGGCAATTTTTTTAGCGGGGGGAAGACTTGGTTTCTCTGGTGATAAGTTGTTGATTTAGAGAGAGCCATAATCTTCTTCGCTATCTTTCTCAGCCACTACGTTATTGCTTCTAGTGATCAAATCTGAGTTTCTTTTTTATGGAACCTTCCTGTCTTTCTGGGAAAACTTCAATTTGGTGTCTGCCGTGTGGAGGAAGATCTTATTGGAGCACACTAAAATCTACAGAGTAAGCTTGGATTAGGGGTTGTTTGTCACCAGATCGTGTGCTTAATTTTGATATAGGGATTCCCGAATCACTTGTGGAGTCCTGCTCCTATTTTCTCGCCTCTGGGTGTTTTCAAATAGTTGTGAATTGACTAGCCTGCACAAATGAGAAGCATAAGTCATAATTGTAGGGGGTTGTTGAATGGTGGGGCCAAAGCAAGTATCAAATCCTTAGTCAAAGAACACAGGCCTCAAGTGTTGTTCTTAATAGATTGGAATGAGTTTAAACTGCAAACTAGTTTTGATAATTCATAGGGGTTTCCTGCTAAGGGGAAGGCAGGGGGTTTGTGCCTCTTTTGGACCTCAGACCGCCTTGGAGAATAACTGGAGTGTATGGGAGACCAGATAGAAAGGATAGACAGCAAACCTGGGACTTAATGAGAAGAATGAGTAGAACTGATCTTCCATGGCTATGTGTGGGGGATTTTAACCAGATAGTTTTGTGAAACAGTAAAAGAGGTGGTAATCTAGTATCTGAAGGTTTGGCAATGGATTTTTGGGATGTGTTGGAGGAATGCAGGCTAATTGATTTTGGCTTCAAAGGGTATCCGTGTACTTGGGACAATAGTAGGACGGGTGGAGCATTTATAGAGGAAAGATTGGATAGATTTGTTGCACAACTTGAATGACAACAAGTCTATCCAAATTTACAAGTCACACACCTTGAGAGGTGTGGATCCGATCATTGCCCAATTTTGATGAATACCTCAGTCGAGGATGAAATTGAAATCAAATGGGGCTGGTCTTTTAGGGTGGATACATTCTGGTTGAAGGACCCTGAATGTGCAGAGGTGGTGGCTAGAGTCTGCGAGGATGATAATGAAAACAACATTCTAAGTACTCTGGCCAAATGTGAAGAGTAGTTAAATGCTTGGAGTAAGCAGAAGTACAGATATATTAGAAAACGACTTGGAATAATTAAAAGGAAGCTAAGAAATGATATGATACAAATTGACCAATTCTACAAGTCACAATTACTTTCCAAAGAAGCCATCAAGATTGGAAAGAAAAGAGGCAGAATTTGGCCAAGTGTTGGAACAGTTTTGAGATGCCTACTTTGGAGGTTTGGTTCTCACAATTGACTCGATGAAAATTTAGGATTAAGGGTTTGTACTGAATATGGAGTATTTATCTACATGTTGGATGCATTGATAGATCCAGAAAAATTCATTAAGGTCATTTTCCAAAACCTTAAAGTTGCTACCTCAAAACAGGAAAACTGTCTGAAAACGGCCAAGTCTTGAAACGTGACTGTGAAGTCTACTTTGGAGCTCAAATCTAAGCCCGAACGGTTTTTCACCTCAAATCTAAGCCCAAAGATTGGATTGGATTGTTTATTATCCAGTCCCGGTCCAGTCTCGGTCCGGGTTATACGGTTCGGTTTGCGATAAAACCAAAAAATCCGTACCAAATAGCCAGCCCTAGCTACCCTATTGCTAATCCGACCAACAAATCGAACATGAAAACCACTATTCAGAGCCATCATATGCATAATCTCCTGAATAATAGCCCCACCACGGTTGTCTTGCGCATCTCTGGCATTAATCTTATCAATGAGCACCTTCGCATCACCTTCAAACAAAACTTCAGCAATGCAAAGATTCTGACACCAATGAATAACTTCGCGGAGGACAATAACTCAAGAGGGTCAACAATGTTCTCGAGAACCATTCCTCTTGCTAAGACCACAAACCGTCCACCATTCTTTAAGATCAGCCCTCCCGCTGAATGTGAGTCAGCACGTACCACAAAATCCCACATGAAGATGACATAGGTCAAATCTACCACCTCTAGATTCTGCTGCAAAGGAAACCGATCTCGGATCACCCTGTCCTCGGGTATGGACTCCCATTCATGGAGTTGCTGGTGGTATTGGCGCATCAACTGAGGAAATCAAGAACTGATTGCGCTTTTAAGGGGAAAAAATGAGACGCCTGGCGTGGCAACCAGTGGCCCAGATACTCCAATCCTGAATGAGTCTAGAGGGCTATAGAGATTAGACACTCCCAAAAGAGGTGCTCCATCGTTTTAGATTCAGACAAACACACCTGGCATCGAGGCAAAATCCAGACCCTTTTCTCAATCAAAGATTCAGTAGTAGGTA